CACTGTTAGTTGATTATTTACCTGCCGCATTAACGGGAGAGGACGTGCAAATGTTACCGCTGCTGCTTGGTTGAGATTCACGAGTCCGGAGCAGAATTAAAAACACGACATTCATTTAAGGTTATCGTGTGTTTTGTGAGCAAATGCTTTTGCATATTCCTAGTGTTTCCTCCCTTAAATGAAATATCTACTTTGCAAGTATTGCAAGTTGCCCTGTTGTCTTCCGTTCTTGTAAAGTATAATCAAACTTTTTAGTGTTTGAGCCGCTTAGGCGCTGTGTTTCCTGCCAGGTAAATGACGCTCCGCAACGTGGTGACGTCATTCGGGGTGACTGGAATCGATAAGGGAAACGTTTGCAAAAATGGCAAACAATTCCAAGGAATTGAAACAGTGGGAACCAGTTCTCAACAAGAACCGGTTTTCGATACCCATCCCCATCCCCATCCTCTGATGTAATAAACTCTTTGGCTCACAAAGGTTTCATTACACTTGCAGTAATGAGCTCAGCTGTTACAGACTCTGGGAAAGTTTCACTTTGTATATAATAAAGAACAGCTCTAATGACTGTTACACCATCAATATTACATTTTAGTTAGAGGGGAAAAAGCAAAACTACAAACACTTGTTTGTAGTTGCAAATTTAAGTTAAATTCTTGCACTCTTGAGCCCTGCACACAGCAGCTGTTGCCTTCCCCACCGTCTTTCATATCACTAACAATTCCCCCTCTCTTTTAGATTCTTGTTAAAACTGCAGAGCCTCATATGCTTCCTCTAATGTAAAAAAACAAGATGAAAATACTAAGAAGAAAAATAAGTCAAATTAAGGTATTATTGATCATATCTGCTTTTCTTTATAAACTGTTTTATTTTTGGATGATTTCTTGTATTGTCAGTTTCTTCCTGCGATATAGCTAAATAAACTGCTTCACTTCAATACAAAACTGTTGACCAATAGTCTACTGATCCCAACAGATAAGATATTCAACAGTCCAAAGTTTTGTTTAACCTTCCTGTGTTCCTGCATTTACACGCAAATTTACATGTTTCAGGAGAGACATCCGCCACGTCCAAATCTGGATCCACATACCGGTTTACTGCAGCAGTAATAATATGCTTACCATGAATTTACATTGATAAGGTAAGAATAACTTTTAATGCCATTATTGATTCATTTTAAAGGCCTAATTCTTTCTTGTTGAACTCACTGACTCCTGATCAATGTGTGAACTCCCATCTAAAATGAATATCGAACACCTTGTTGATGCACAATGTTCATTCACAAAGGAACAAAGTAAACACTAAGCACAATCCTTTGTTAGATACCAGGACTGTAGGAGTATTTAAGTTGCCTTAAGTATAACAGAGACAGTACTTTATTTCTGCCATTTTCAGAAGTATTGCTGAACTGAAATAGGAAAGAAAGTGTGTCAAGCTCTTAAAAGTTTATGAAGGTAAAAGCCACATGTGCGTTTTTGAGCCTTTGAGAGGACAGTGACTGATATAAAATTCCTTGGGTCCAAGTCTGAACCCTTAAACATCTCTTTGAAGAAGGAAGGATCAGCCACGATGTCCTAAAATTGCACTTTGTACAATCCTCGTGAATTACACACTACACCAACAGTCAGAAACGCATTCCCTAGTCTTTCATAAAACACGCCAACTCCAAATTCAAAACCTTGTATTTATCTTCAAACAGTCCCTACTGAGTAAAAAACATTCTGACTTTCAGAAATGTAACTTACAGCGGTCCTCACAAAGATAGACGATCGACTATACACACAGAACATTTTAACAGCAATACAGCACAGGAAGAAGAG